TCCCGGTCATGTTTTGATGGTGTCCCGGTCATGTTGTGATGGTGTCCTGGTCATGTTTTGATGGTGTCCCGGTCATGTGATGGTGTCCCGGTCATGTTGTGATGGTGTCCCGGTCATGTTTTGATGGTGTCCCGGTCGTGTTGTGACGGTGTCCCGGTCATGTGTTGATGGTGTCCCGATCATGTGATTCGATGGTGGCGCGGTCATGTTGTGATGGTGTCCCGATCATGTTTTGATTGTGTCCCAGTCATGTTGTGATGGTGTCCCGGTCATGTTGTGATGGTGTCCTGGTCATGTTTTGGCGGTGTGCCGGTTATGTTTTGATGGTGTCCGGGTCATGTGACGGTGTCCCGGTCACCTTGTGATGGTGTCCCGGTTATGTTGTGATGGTGTCCCAATCATGTTGTGACGGTGTCTCGGTCATGTTTTGATGGTGCCCTCATTTTGTGATGGTGTCCCGGTTATGTGATGATGGTGTCCAAGGAAGAGATGGTCGATGTGTTGAAAACAGCAGCTGTTTCCAGATTTTTCTTTTGTCCCGGTTTGTATCTTGCTATTGGGGTCTCCAGCTGGGCTAATTTTTATTTTTGTTAATATTCTTGTTATATATTATTTATTGCTATTTTCTTTTTACAATTCATGTGTTTTTTTCCCCATGGACAACTTGTTTTTTTATTCTTTCTGGAAGAGATGGTGCCAGGTACCCGATCAAGGGGATCTTCATCAGCAATCGTTTAGTTTAGCACATGGAAGGTGCCTGAAAGGAGAGATAGATGATGGTCCCATAGAACCCTTTGCTGTGGGATCTCAGGTTGTCACGAAACCCAGGCACAATCCAACCATCATTCTTTTGCTATCGGTCCAGCGTGCCTTAAGCAAGAGCCGAAGCAAAAACAAAAATAAGCCACCAAAAACGCTGGGCACACTTCTTCCTGCCCCATTTTGGACAAGCAGATTCAAGCTTCCGCTTTGGTCCCTTTTGTGGATCAAAGCCGAACTCGAGGCGGGTTGAATCCTCCCCTTTCCCCAGTTTCGGCCTCTCCTCCCGTCGTCCTACGACCCGACCTCACCTCTCTTTGTGCCCGAACGGAAGTCGCACCGGTTTCGGGTTCGGGTTCGAGTTCGACTGGGACCTCGAGGTCTATGCTGGCGCAGGGGTGGTGGAAGGCTCTGATCCCTCGGAGGAGTTTGAAGAGATTAGCTCCTTGGGAGACAAGTTGGACTCGCGCTGCGTGCGTACCAGGAGCGTCCAGCTGGACGCGAGCTTGGGTACCGACGTCTATACCGTGCAGGCCTTGACTCCTTGCTTTCTAGAAGAGTAAAGGAGATGGCGGATGATGATGGCGGTATGTTCACAAGGGTCAGGTGTGAATTTTCAACCTTTTTTGGATGGGACTTGGAAATCATCAAGCCATTCCGGCCTCCATTTGAGCTATACACCAGGAGTCACAGAGCGGGTGCTGGTTCGCTTTCGGAACGTTGGGATGCCCACATCCACACGTGACTCCTGTACGAAGTCGCCCGAAAAAGCACCGGTGACCGGTGCTTTTCATCGCTGACCCACTCTCCCGCCGGCCGCCCGGGCGCGACGACCGTCTCCCCCTCCCCGCGGGGCTCCGGCGCCGAGGTCTGAAGATGAGACAATTCACCGAGGCCCCCGGCCGCGTGACGCTCCGCGACGGACGCGCACAAAGACGACTGAGGCCGAGAAGTGAGAAGTGCGGCTGCCATGTATGAGGTGAAGTGCTGCATGCCATGACTTCTTAGAAGGTTTTGGGGGGGACTTTCACCTGTTTCATCCCTCCGAACACCCAAGTATTCCATGTTGCGCAGTGAAACCCATTGGTTCCCCGGTGTCTTTCGGAGTCCCAACGCCGCATCTCGGGGGCCCGGAATCCCGAATCCCTTTGACTCACCACGGGAACCCCGTGGAATGAACCTGAATGAACCGCTTAAACACGTCGGTTTTCTTTCGAACATGTCGAACGATCGTTTTCACCAGGCCTTCGCAGATGCCACCCCCCGCAGCGTGCCGGAGCTCGCGCAGCTGCCGTTCCTCGGCCAAATTCCACGGCCGACGACCCACGGGTTCCCGTCTCACACGGTTCCGTCCGATGTGGAGCCAAGATGAAGCAACGATACCTTGCAAGTCACGAAAACAACTACGCAAGTACAGCAAACAAGCGCAAGAAGGCATGCAACCAACCAACCAACCAACCAACCAACCAACCAACCAACCAACCAATCAACCAACCAACCAACCAATGCGAACTCAGAAGACCATCAACCCAATGTCAACGAGTGGTTGCTTGTCGGTGAAATTGCATGGATTATTGTTCAGCATTTATAGTGGTTTCAGAGTAGCTGGCACAGACCCGATGTTTTTGATGTAGGGGTCCATATCGCCATCTACTCTCTGCCATCCACTATAGAACATTTAGTCCACCGAAATCGGTCCCCTGAAAAGCTGTTTGGTGGCCACCTGACAGAACCGTCCTCCTGGACGGGACGAAATCAAATCGGCTTCTCAACTCGAAGCGTGGTCTAAAGTGATACATTTGGAGGAGTTCTCAAGGTGTTGGGTCTCTTTTGTGCTCCCAAAACGCCACGCTTCGGAGCTTCGGAGCTTCAACAGCTTCAGGCAATTCACAGATCAAAATGATCAGCCACCCAGCACATGTCTCTTAGCACATGTCTCTTGCGTTCGCTTCGGGCCCAAATGGCCCCCCAAGGAACCTCAACACGCTTTGGGCCACGGTGATCGTGCGGCGCCCCGGAGTCTCCGGACGGTCCGGCGGGGCGGGGCGGGTCGTTGATGACGCAGCATGAGACATGCATGAGACATGCATGAGACTTATATATATATATATACACTGTATATGAAAATAGAATAGATGAGTACAAATTTGTGGTAGTGAAATGGCTAAAGTAAGTGTATTTTAATAGGGATACCCCCCGGCCCTGGCTGGGTAGACTGGTCTATTTCCCGAATCTTCCAGGAAAGCTCACGTTGAAAGTGGCGTGAGGTGGAGGAGTTGGTCCGGTGCAACGTGTGCAACTTCGTGATTTGTCGGGAAGCTCGGAGGTTTGCGGGGAATGGGGGATGGGGTGCCATGGCGGCCGGAGTGGGGATCTGGAATCGGTAATTCATTGGGATGGATCTGGGACTCTTTGAGCCCTTCCAATCTCTTGGGAGCTCTGAAGGGATTTGTTTGGCACCGTTTTTTGGGAGCTTTTCGGAGTGGCTGTGTGGGGGAGCCTCGTGTTTTTAGGACCTGCCTCTGCCAAACATAGTGGTGAAAACTTGATGAACGATGTGCTTCTTGTAGATGACCATGACAAATTGATTTCTCGCGATGTGTGGGCTTCTATGACCGATGGGAAGATGGGAAGGCTTGGATGATTGTCGTACTCACCAGACAAACCACAGGCCATTTTGGAGGCCATTTTGGTGCCATTTGCACCCATCCTTCCCCATCTTTCCCTTTCTTCCGGCTTTTCGCAGCCTGGTGCCACTTCATGCACCACCAGCCTCACCTGGCTGCGCCCACGTCCCCACCTCAGGTCCTGGCTCTCGCTCCACTCCGCTGGTGGTCGCCATGGCGCGACACGGACAGACCAGGCGGCGTGAGTGGAAGACTGGGGCGCGACACCGCGGGTGGCCAAGGATGAAGAGATCCCATTGATGGAGAGTTGGAGACCTGAAGACTGGAAGACTGCAAGACGACTTCTTTGGGTGGCCGGGCCTGGGTGTTTTGATGCGTTCTGCACTATAGCAGCGGACGTGGTCCTTTCAGTTCTCCTTTCACCAGGGGGGTGGAGGTGGCGAAGCATCTGAAGGATGCATCAAGCCGAAGCGCAGAATGCTTCGATTCGTTCCACTGGGCCGACCGCTCTGGACGTATGAAGCTGGTCGACCGCTCTGCGGCCCAAGAGCACGGTGAGACTCAAATTGTTTGCTTCAAAGCGGTCGTTTTCGCACGGTGCCGTGTGTCCCGTGGAATCCCTTCTACTGCGATTCGAAGCTAAAGCAGTCGTCGACGGGCAAAACAAACTTCCTTTTTTCTCCCGGCGAATAGGCGGTTCATCCCCAAATTCCATCGACCCCCCGCATGCATGAATTACAACACCCCACAAAACGACCACTGTCACACTGTGTCAGACTCGTTGGTCTGGCCTCGTAGCACTGGACGATAGGCATGTGGTGAACCACGACGAGCGTTCGGGTGGCTTCTATGCCCTTGGATGGGCGAAGGCCATTGGTCAACCCGTGGTGGGGAGCCTCGAACCAGACGATCGTCGTTGGATTCTTGGGGATCCAACACTGAGAAGGGAGGGTTTGTATGGGAAAGGACGTCCTATTCATCTTCCTCTTCACCGGCTGCCGGGCGAAGCACCAAGCGAACCAACCACCAGCGGCGGACCAACGGTAGCAGCGGCTACCGTTGGTCCATGGGCCGGAAGAAAGGGCGGCCAGGACCGCATCCTTTCTGTGCCTCAATGGTGAGGGGGTCGGAAATGGCGGAAATGGGGAAGACTGGAGATCATGCCAGGGACAGGAACCTACAAGGGTCATCAAGGGTCCCTTTTTTGGCAGTTTGGCATTGACCCAGACCCACATATCGAGACAGCTTTGGAGCCTCTTGCATTTCTTGCACGTTGCTTTATGATGTTTTATGCTGCTTCATTGCAAGGAGAGCTTCCCAGAATCTTTGGTTGGAGAAGACAGCTATAGCAGCTATAATATATATATATAATGCCTCACCACAGGTCACGTGACCCATGCTTCGACTGGGTCACCGGAACCGTTCGATGATCGTCTCCCTGGGTCACCTGTGTCTACCACCGGTCACGCCGGTCACGTCTGCGACCGCACGACCAAGGCAGTGATCGTCACGTGGGGGAAACTCAGCACCTCGTCGTGGGTCCGGAACCGGCCGGTCTGCGAGAAAGGCGTTCGTGTCTGAGGCGTTCCTGCAGAGTCTTCCAAAGAACCATTTCTATCCATGTCTGACTTGAACACACAGATCATATCACCCTATCATATCCATCACAGATGTGCGGCGAAATCGCACAAAATTCGATCTGCTTCGGAACATGTTGCATCGCAGGTCTGGTACAGCCGTTGCAAACCTGCTGCCTGCGGCAGTCGAAGCAGCTCAGGCTCAGGTGGCTACGGGATGCCACTGATGCCCATGTTAGCTCCGTTGAGGTCATTCACTCTGGAAACGCCTCCAAACATGGGCAGCTCTGGGCTAGCTGTGCCTGTGAAAAGGGTTGACGGGCCAACAATGAAGAATCTTGCCAGGTGTTTAGAAGGGGGGGCCGATGTGATGTACACAGACAACACATGTTAGACTCTATAGCCAGAAGGGGATGTGAGAATAATCTCACAATATCTCACACCATTTCGAAAAGATCTTGACCGGTCTTTTCATTTCCAGCCGACCGGTTTTTCTTCTTCCCCGGTCGAAGTCACCGACGACGACCGGGGTTTAAGACCTGTGCGCCGGCCGCACCGCGGCGGGTCCGACTGACAGATCCCCTTGCTGCTGCTGACCGCCGACCGCCCTGCAGAGCTGCGAGACACGGGAGCCAACCAGACCATCACGCAGTCCGGGCAGCCGGGCGCCGGCGGTCGCGTGCCCGTTGCAGCTGTCGCGTGGGGACGTGGGCGAAGAGATTTCGGGCGCGGACAGGGCGCGGAGCAGAGTTTGCGAGGGTGTGTGGGGAGGAAAAGAGCGTGGTGTTGCGAGGTTTTTCAGATAGAACCCAAGGGGAAGAAGATCAAGAAGGGAGGCAAGAAAGGCATGTCAAAAGACCTGGATGTTCTAGGACCCACCTGTGATCGTCGTACTGCGAGCGAAAACGATGCCTGCGAAAACGAGATCGTCGTACTTCGTCGCATCACTACGTCGCTGTGTGTTGTGTTGTGATGCATCTCTTGAGATCCCGAGGCCGGGGATCTTTGGGTCTTCTGCGCGTTGGGCCAAGGACGGTGGGTCCCGTGGTCCAACGAACGATTCTGCCGCGGTGTGAAGCGGACGAAGCGAGACGAAACGGACGTCGGGTCAGAGGTCGATTGGGTTGGAACCTGCTTCGCCCATAGTTCGAGGGTTTTTCAGCGGAGCTGATGGATTTGATTGGCCAAGCATTCTTTGGAGGTTGAAAGATGAGAGACTGAATCTGGAATAAAGAGTGAACATCCCGGCATCCCGGCATCCTGGCCGGGCCAGTCATGTCGAAGATTGTTCAAACACTCTCGGACTCCGTTGGTTCTTCAGCCTCTCAATCCGTCCAACTTGCCCAACTCTTGGAGATGCACCATGGCCATGTGATGCGGTCGCCTCTTGCTTTCGATCCTCGAAACTCCAAAGCCCGTTTGCGTTTGGTTCAGCTCCCGAATCTTCCCGTTGGCGTTCGGTTCAGCAACGACTCCCCTGGAAGGTTCGGTTCGGTTCGCGGTCATTCCGCACCCGTCGACACCCAGGGTTGGCGAGAAAGGGGACCGGCATCTCCTTAAAAGAGACACCCAGATCGTAGACCCAACTGAGTCTTCTCAACTCGAGCTGTGGCCACCTGTGGCCGCCTGCCTTTTGGCCGCCGGCCTTTTTCGCCTCGTCAAGCTGCCTGGGCTTGTGCCATTTGGAGCTGTGAAACATGTGAACAAACATGGAAACACCATGTGCAGAGAGGCTGAAAGTCGTCGGGTGATCAGCGCGTGTGGACAATGGACAATGGTACATGCTGACTGCAACGAACAGCGCAAGTTACAAGGTCCAGATACTTCAACTAAAGACTGTGGAAAGGGTCCGGGTCTTAAGACTTGAGACACAAAGCGAAAGCAAAGGCTGCTGATTCGCCATGGGCCTGAAGCTTTGGGTGATCTTCTCCCTTTGGCAAGCAGCCTCTTCGGCCGCTCGAATGCATGTTGCTACCAGAGACAAGGAGAGCGAACAAACTGTTCCACCCAAAGCCCACCCGATTTGACATGTCCGACCATTGGCACCTTTTGGGACATGTCTTTGAAAGGGATCCGTGTTTTTCTTTTTTCCAGCCTTGGACTCATGTGTGGTCCAGCTATCCTTTGCTCCTCCCTTCCCAGTCGGGTCATGCAAGAAACCGCTCGTCCAGGCACCGCTCTGGGTTGACGAGCTCAACCATTTTCGCACTCGAGATGGGCGAGTACAGATCTTCCATGGGGTCAATGTGGTGCAAAAGAACTTCCCATGGCATCCATCCACAGGACGACGAACGCATGGGACGCTCAAAAGGAACGGTTGGGACGGAACGCATGGAAACGCGAAACGCAGAGGTTGCAAGATGTTCAAAACGGTGCAAGTACCAACAGAGGTTGAAGAACCCGAACTAGACTGTCCCAGTTGGGTACCCCAGTAAGGTCCTATTTACGGTCACTAGCTCAAATAGACCGAACACAGCTGCACGTACGTGTTTGGATGGTGGTTTGTGAAAGGCACCGGGAATACTTCAGATGGTTGCCAAATGACACCAAAACCGTTCAGTGAGGAAGCCACGAGTGTTAGCCTACACCTCACCCTCTACAGCCTCAAAACCCTCGAAAAACACCAACTCTTGTAGCACACAACTTCTCTTGTCCCAAGATTGTTGACTTCTAGATGCTTCTAGTGCGCGGCTTGAGCGAGGTAAGAGATGGAAAACATGAGGGCCAGCAGGCTCATACAAAGCAAAACGAGGTCAGAAGTTGTTTGGAAGGTTGGTAGCTCAGAAACTCGCATGCAGGAAACTTGGGCCTTTAAGAAAACTCCGGATGAAGCATACTGTGGACCCTTTGACAGGACCCTTCGACCCATTCAGTTCCTTGAATGCTGAGGACAGGCGGGTGTTTTTTTAGTTTTTGTGTGATGTTGGGATGTGATGTGATGTCTGATGTCAGATGGATGAACATCGGAGCCGTGTCTTGCCAAAGTGTCTTACCAAAGCGAAAAGGCGTCTCTCCCAGCGGCGGATGTCATGACTTGACAGTCAGACACCCGGCATTTTGGACTGGAAAATTCCAAGATCTTGCGTCACACTGATGATGAATGCATACCTTTCCCATCAGACCCATTTTTCCGGGGACCACCAGCGTGAGATGGCTGTGCCCATCAGGCACCGACGTCCATCCCGAGCAGGACATGGCCAACCTCCAGTCGTGGGGTTTCAACGTCATCCGGTCCGGAACCGCCAGAAACCGCGCGTTGGTTGGGAGACCGGTCTCGAACAGATCGAGAGATGGTGTCATGGTGTGGAAACACAGGGTGGGTGTTTGCATCCTTTTCCGCCAAGATCTTGTTCGTTTCTTCTTGACGTGCTAGATATTATACATTATATCTGTCACCTGGAGATTTGGTGAGTGATTTGTCTTAGACGTGAATTCCGAGCACAATCGGAGTGAGGCTGGGGGTCATGTGGCCTGGTGTGGAGCCGGTTGAAGGCCAGTACAATCACACCTACTTGCAGGCGCATCTGGCGGCATACTGGAGGGTTCGGCGGTTGTTCACGTTGCCGAGGTGTTTAGAGGTTTGTATCCCAGTTCCTTGTTCCTAATGAAATCTGATGTAGGCCGCTGGCTCGGCTAGACCAACCAATTAGAGTTACTAGACTACAGTAATTATTGTAGAACTTTCTTTACATGACAAAGCCGTTCGCTGTTTTCAGCTGCTCGGAAGCTGAGCCTCTTGTGTTTCCATGCGGTGGTTCATGGTGAAGATCCAGAAAAAGCACCAAGATCGTCCAAATGGGCCCCACTGCTAGAGCTTCCAAAGAGGCCTCTCGGGCATTGGCGAAAGGGTTCGCTCTTCAGTGCGCCGATGCTGAGGTGATTCGACAGCTGGTGGATGACTTGTACAGCCATGGCATTTGGACCATCGTAGACTTCCACCAGGTGGGCGTTTCTGTCGGAAATCGCCGTACCCAAGCATATCCCCAAAACCTCAGTGCCCATGCAGAAGATCCATCAGTCGCCCATGTTCACCCGGCCCAGACCTCCGCGTCGACTGGCTGTTCCCCCTCACGGCACACCACACCCGTCGTCCTCACGGTCGTCCGACCGCTTCTACCCTCCCGAGGATGCGTTCACCGAGCGCTACTGCGGCGAAGGGGTACCTGATTGGCTCTTGCCGTCCCTTGGAGCAGCGAAACGGTCGAGCGGCTCGTCTCGTGTAGCTCGAGCGAGATCGAGTTTCTCGGAGCCGGTTTTTTCTCGCGCGGGACGAAGTCCGAAGACCAAAGATCTTTCTGAAGGTGGGAAGGATTTGGCTTCTTATATTTTTTTCTGCATGGGTTTCTTTCTTTCTTTCTTTATTTTTTTTCAAGCACGGTGGGACGATGGGTCCAATCCTTTTGGGTTCGGATTCCGTGGGAGGATTGTTGACCCAGTTTTTTTTTGGTCCGGATGAGAGGGACCACCTCGGGGTCCTCGTGATCCGCGTCCAGGAAGCTTGAGCCGGTGCAGAGAAGCTGTGTTGGCTGGCTCCCAGAGGCGGTGGCGCAGACATGGGTATTAGAAGTACTGGAGACCGACCCATCCGCGAATGGGAGTGGTATCCGGGCCCTTTTTTGGGTGGAGTGGCACATTGCTCGTGAGCAGAGGGTTGCTGGACCAAGGATAGATCAAGGTCGTTGGATGGTTCTGATCTTCGGATCTTAATTCAGCCACAACCAGGCATTGACAACACACATGTATAGGTTCCTCCTGCAGCCTGTGCTCAAAGAGATGCAGTATGCAGCAGAACCTCTCAAATCCTCTCATGCTTCGAAGCGCCTGGTCTTTCGCTGCTTCCCACCTCGTCTCCGGTTACGTGGTTTCAGCCACTCAAGGCCAGAGGAGGTCCCCATCTCCAAGCGTGAGCGGATGCTGTCGCGCCCGGCCGAGACCTTCAAACGACCCACCGGACGTGGAAAGCTTCCGCCCCCGGGGCGACCTTCCGCGGCGCCCGAGGGTGGCCGATTCTTCCTGATAGCACCCACCAGAGCGGCCAGTCAGCGGCAGGAGCGAAATCCCAAGTTCTCCCCCTGGCGGTTCGCACTGAAACAGAGCCAAACAGCAGATGAATTGCTGCACACGTTGGAGAAGGCTATCTTGGCCTCGGAAGTGGACTCCAGTGTGTTTGGCGCCGCGATGCAGCGATGTGGCCTTGGGCGCTGGTGGGACGCTTTGCTGGAGGTTCACGCTCGACAACGACTCATCGACGAAGACATGGCCTTCTTACAACGACGCATCTTCTTTGCCGCCCTGGCCTCGTGCCTAAAGGATCGCTCCGGCGGGAAGGGGGCGGCTGAAACGCTGGCGCAAAGGAAGAAGCAGGGCCTGGCGTTGGGCACAGAGCTTTGGGAGGGTCTCGGGTCGCAGCTTGGCACCTCCAGTGAGTTGAGTAGAGAGGAGTACAACATGCTTCTGGGAAGTGCTTGGAGTCTTTGTGCTGCTGTTGGCGAGGAAGCGTTGCCCTTGGCCTTGAAGATCCTCGACTGGTCCAAGGCGTTCCCCTTCCGCATGGATTGCGTCGCCTACACACCCTTGCTCTCGCTCTATGAGGAATTCGGTCGGCAGGAAGAAGTGGATGAGTGGTTGATGCAAGCAAAAACGACCGGTGTCGTGATTGAAGCGCCCAGTGTCGTAACCTTCGGCGGCTTGATCAATTCGGCAGGAACAAACGAGAATTGGAGAAGAGCAGATGAGCTTTGGAGCCAAATGGAAGACTTCCGGATCACACCCAACGTCGTGTGTTTTGTTGCGCATGCAAAGGCAAGTATTTTGGCAGGAAGGCCTTCGGCAGCAGTCCAGATGCTGGATCGAATGCGTTTCGCCGGTGTAGGTCAGGACAATCCGAATGCAGCTGTCGTATATCTACAGAGCTTATTGATCATTTGTCACTCCAACCCCAGTGAGGCTCATTTAAAGCAGCTGTCAACCTATTTGAACGACTTCGACCACTCCAACAACATGGAGGAACTGCGTGCACGACTGGCCAAGG